CATACCCGTCAAACATACCGATCACATACACCCACTACTTATACCCGTTACACATACCCATCACCCATCCCAATCACTCATGCCCATCACACATACCCATCACACACACGCATCACACATACCCATCACATATACTCATCACACATACCCATCACACACACCCATCACACACACCCATCAAACACACGCATCACAAATACCCATCACACATACCCATCACACATACCCATCACACATACCCATCACACACACACATCACATATACCCATCACACATACCCATCACACATACCCATCACACACACCAATCACGCACACGCATCACACACACACATCACACATACCCATCACAAATACCCAACCCACGAACCCATCACACACACCCATCACACATACCCATCACACATACCGATCACACATACCAATCAAACACTTTCACATCCCACACACACAAATCACACACACCCATCACACACCCATCACACACACCCATCAAACATACCAATCACACACACCCATCACACACCCATCACACACACCGATCACACATACCGATCACACATACCCATCACACATACACATCACACATACCCATCACCCATACCCATCACCCATACCCATCACACATACCCATCACACATACCCATCACACATACCCATCACACATATCCATCACCCATACCAATCACACATACCCATCACACATACCCAACACACATACCCATCACCCATACCAATCACACACACCCATCACAGATACCCAACACACATACCCATCACCCATACCCATCACACATACCCATCACACATACCCATAACACGCACACACATCTTACATACCCATCACACATTCCCATCACACACACACCAAACACACATACCAATCACAAATAAAAATCACACATACCCATCACACATACCCATCACCCATACCCATCACACATACCCATCACACATACCCACCACACATACCCATCACAAATACCCATCACACATACCCATCGCACACACCCATCACACATACCCATCACACATACCCATCAAACACTTACACATCACACATACCCATCACAGATAGCCTTCACCCATACCAATCACATATTACCAATCACACACACATATCACACATACCCATCACACATACCAATCACACATACCCATCACACACACGCATCACACATACCAATCACACATACCCATCACACATACCCACCACACATACCCATCACCCATACCCATCACACATACCAATCACACAGACCCATCACACATACCCATAACACACACCCATCACACACACACATCACACATACAAATCACACAAACCCATCACACATACCCATTACACATACCCATCATACATGACCATCACACATACCCATCACACATACCCATCACACACACACATCAAACACTTACCCATCAAACATACCAATCACAGATACCCATCACCCATACCCATCAGAGCTACCCATCACCTATACCCATCACACATACCCATCACAAATATCCATCACACATACCAATCACACATACCCATCACACACATACATCACCCATACCCATCACAAATGCCCATCACACACACGCATCACACATACCCACCACGCACACCCATCACACATACCTATCACAGATACCCATCACACATACCCATCAAACACTTACACATCACACATACCCATCACAGATACCCTTCACCCATACCAATCACATATACCAATCACACACACATATCACACATACCCATCACACATACCAATCACAGATACCCATCACACACACCCATCACACATATCCATCAAACATACCCATCACACACACCCATCACATTTACCTATCACACATACCCATCACACACACACGTCACACATACCAATCACACATACCAATCGCACATACCAATCACACACACTTTTTACACATACGAATCACACACACAAGTCACACATACCATTCACACATACCCATCACCCATAGCCATCACACACTCCTCACACATACCCATCACACATACCCATCACACATACCAATCACACACACCCATCACACACAACCATTACCCATACCCATCACACATACCCATCAGACACACCAATCACACATACCCATCACATATACCCATCACACATACCCATCACCCATACCCATCACCCATACCCATCACACATACCAATCACACACACGTCACACATACCAATCACACATACAAATCACACCTATCCATCACACACACATATCACACATACCAATCACACACACTTATCACACATACCAATCACACACACACGTCACACATACCAGTAACACATACCCATCACACATACCCATCACACATTTGCCATCACACACACTCATCACACATACCCATCACACATACCCATCACACATACCCATCACCCTTACCCATCACACATACCCATCACACATACCCAACACACACACGCATCACACATACCCATCACACATACCCATCACACACACAAATCACACATACCCATCACCCATACACATCACCAATACCCATCACACACACACATCACACATACCCATCACCCATACCCATCACACACACCCATCAAACACACACATTACACACACCCATCACACATACCCATCAAACACACACATTACACATACCCATAACACACATACCCATCACACATACCCATCAAACACTTACACATCACCCATACCCATCACAGATACCCTTCACCCATACCAATCACATATACCAATAACACACACACATCACACATTCCCATCACCCATCACCAATACCCATCACACATACACATCACACATACCCATTACACACACACACATCACACATACCCATAACACATACCAATCATACATACCCATCACAAACACCCAACACACACCCATCACACATACCCATCACCCATACCCATCACACATACCCATCACACACACCCAACACACGCCCATCACACATACCCATCACACATACCCATCACACAACCATCACACATACCCATCACACATACCCATTACACGCACACAAATCACACATACCCGTCACCCATATACATCACCTATACCCATCACAAATACCCATCACACATACCCATCACACATACCCATCAAACACACCCAAACACACACCCATCACACACACACAAATCACACATACCCATCACCGATATACATCACCCATACCCATCACACATACCCATCACACATACCCATCACCCATACCGATCACACACACCCATCAAACACACACATTACACATACCCATCACCCATACCCATTACCCATACCCATCACACACACCCAACACATAAACCATACACATCATATATAGCCATCACACATATCAATCACCCATACCCATCACACACACACATCACACATACCTATCATCCATACCCATCACACACACACACATCACACATACCTATCATCCATACCCATCACACACACACATCACACATACCTATCATCCATACCAATCACACATACCCATCACCCATACCTATCTCCCATACCCATCACACATACCCATCACACATACCCAACACACATACCCATCACACCTCACCAATCACACACACACACATCACCCATACCTATTACCCATACCCATCAAACACACCCATCACACATACCCATCACACATACCAATCACAGATACCCATCACACATACCCATTGCATATACCCATCACACATACCCATCACACATACCTATGACCCATACCCATCACACACCCATCACACATACCCATCACACATATCCATCACACATATCCATCACACATACCCATCACCCATACCCATCACACACCCATCACACATACCCGTCACACATACCCATCACACATACCCATCACATATACCCATCACACATACCCATCACACATACCCATCACCCATACCCATCACACATACCCATCACCCATACCCATCACACATACCCATCACACATACCCATCACACACCCATCACACACCCATCACACATACCCATCACAAATACACATCACACATACCCATCACACATACCCATCACCCATACCCATCACACACCCATCACACACACCCATCACAGATACCCATCACAGATACCCATCACATACACCCACCATCCATATCCGTCACACATACACACGTCACACACACACACATCATACACACACCACACACCCATTACACACACCCATTAGAGGTACATATCACACATCACACACACCCATCACACACACACACACATCACACATACCCATCACACATACCCATCACACACACCTATATCTCTACCACACAGGCCGGACACACAGTTACACAATTCTCTAATTGAAACGTGAAATCTGATCCTGAAACGAGTACACACAGAACTAAATTTTGAAAACAGTCAAAATATATAAACCAATGAATGATGAAAAAATATAATGAACACATATTATTAGGTTTACAATCATAAAAGGCCATGCAATGGCTCAAATAAGATGCAGTGGCAATAAATGTAATGCCTATTGAGAAAGTGTTTTATGACATTCCATGACATCTACGCAGAAAGGGCATCATAGATTATACGTCACAAGTTGTGAAATGAAGACGCCAACGGCTGGAGCTGCTGGAATATTACTTGACATGTGGGGAAAGTTGACCATTGAAAAGTTGAAGTCATCCCTGTTGTCATTCAATCTTCCTGTTACTCAGAATCTTCCGGCATAGGTCTAAATATGAATCAACTAAGGCAGTCTCACTGGTCTTTTACTTCTCGTTAAGATGGGTAAACCAGTGGACGGGACTTGGCTTTAAGACCACCACGATATCGGCTTAAGTATGTTACATGGCAGTGTATATTATTGTTTATCATTTAACTAAAGCATTTATCCATGACATAAGCTTATAACATGAAAACATGTATGTCATACCCCAATGACATAAGTATGCAAATTAGATATGCAAATTAGATAGCCGGAAGTGGGACTTTTTTCGCCGGTGCACGTGAGTAGGTGTTTACAAACAACATGGATACCTTAGATGTTGGAGACAATGTTTTAATAGATCAAAGGGGAAGTGCTACAGTGATATCCGTGTTGACAAATGGATATTACAGGTTACAGGTTGATGGTACCGAATTTAAATTTGACTGTGATGAAGGCAGATTATTAAAACTTCCCTGTGGCCAAAGTTTCATCATCGAAACGCCATCGTCGAGCACGGCGAAGCAGACGACGAACACAAAGCCGAAAGATGCCCAAGGAAGATTTGTGGCTGTTGAGGACGGCATGATCGATGGTGTGATCCTGGACAATCAAAACAAAAACACAGCCAAGAAAACTTTGTACGATTTGAAACTGTTCGATAACTTTCTAAACGTCCAAAATGAATTTCGCCAAATGCACGAAATCCCCCCAAACGAACTAGACACACTTCTCTGCAAGTTTTCCATTAGTGTTCGAAAAACAAATTGGGAAAATTATGAACCAAACAGTCTCACGGGTTTTCAGAGCAGCATCGAGAGATCACTAAAACGAAGGGGGTATGGCTATTCACTCACGTCATCTTTAGAATTTTCACGATCACGGGAAGTATTAAAGGGGAGAAAAATTGAACTAAAGAAAGAAGGGCGTGGCAACTTACCAAGGAGAGCCGACCCGATTGGTGATGAAGAGATCGAGGCCCTGTGGCAGTCCGGATCCATTGGAATCAGTAATCCAATGAGCATAATAAACTGTCAATGGCTCTACAACACAATCAATTTCGGGTTAAGAGGTGTCAATGATCACAACAACATGTGTTGGGGGGACATCACATTGCATGTTGATGGAGACGATCATGAATATCTTGAACTGTCCATGAGACAAGAAAAGAATAGGTCCGGTGAGAATCCCCGTGATTGTCGCGACGTTAGGCCCAAAATGTGGGCTAATGTTGCTGATCCCTCTCGGTGCCCTGTGCAGGTGTATAAGTTGTATGCCTCCACGCGTCCACTCGACTTCTGTCGAGATGACGATCCCTTTTACATAGGCACACAAACTTTAGGTATGCCTAAACCTGGCGATCAGTGGTTTATCCGCTATCGTATTGGGAAAAACAAACTTTCCTCTCTCATGAAAAACATGTGCGATGCCGCCAGTCTCCAAACATCGAAACGACTCACAAATCACTCTGCGCGCAAACTCCTTGTGCAAAAGTTGAATGACAATAATGTTCCGCCAAATGACTCCCGTCATGCAGAGCGGCCCCTCGCTTAATGTCCAAATCGACAGTAGACAACACAGTCAGCGGTCTCAAATAATAAATGTTTCTGGTGGTGTCAACACTATGTTTGCTGGCAACATTACTGGTGGAAACATAACGATTTATCTCGTTAAACCTCCAAGCCCGGTCCCAGTCAAAAGACGCCGGATTGTCATCGAAAGTGATAGTGACACCGACTAATGCATCTACTCTGACCTCTCAGCCGCGAGACATTCTTCAATTGAGAGAGCGGTTTGATTTGAAACTATATATTATAAGTGAAGTTACACCAGAGATATTAACAGATTACACAGAATCGTTGTTATTACCGTTATTAAAGATTCAATTATTCTGCAAAAGTCTGTTCAAGTATTTTGTTTAAAATAATCCGAGGAACTTTTTTTTCTCAGCGAAGGAATATGCCATAAAGGAGTTAAGAGGTTGTTTATTTTGGTTTACACGGCTATGGAAAACATGTATCACTACGCACGATCTATACGTAAGATTTCGACAAGTTGCTGATGTTATTGTTAATGAAATTATTCCTTAATAGGGAAGCAAAAATGATAAATAGAATTCATCACGAGTGTTTTTTAATATGGGAAATATCAACCTCGTCCCGTTAATCGGTATTTGCCTCGCCAAAGGCTCGGCAAATACCGATTAACTAAGACTCGGTTGATATTTCCCATATTAAAAAACACTCGTGATGAATCCTCTATTTAACGATGATTGTGTAACTGTGTCACGTTGTTTCTGTAGAGATTCGGTAGACGTTCATTGCAATGTATTTGGACAGTGGTTAGTTGGCAGGAATGTAGTACTATTCGATGTAAGCAGGAGTTAGAAAGTTACTCTATTTAGATGCAAGAGTGGTGTTTTAACGTCCGGAAACGGCGAGACTCGTCCAGCATTGTACAGAGCCTTACAGCACTATCTAGAAAGTTCTGGAAGCTAGTCAGATTTTATTTTAGGGGACAAGAGCATGCCTCTTGCATCTCTGATACAAGTCATCACGTCAAGGTCAGCTTCCTTGTGAGGATTGCTCATCATCCCTGAAATCCTGCCAAGCCGATCACGGAAGCTTGACTACTGTTGCCGTTGGGTGAATATATATGATTATCATTGACTTTTGCTATCACAACTGTAATTTTGTATTTGATACTGATCACTGCCATCATATTATCGATTGTCATTAAATATTGTACTACCACTCTATTTTGTACTGCTATTGTAATTGCCGTAAGGTAATTTGTATTGATTTGTCAACTCAGTGAATTTTGTATTACATTTGTCAATTGTTGGCTGTTTGTTGGTTTCACGTTGGTTTTCTTTTACTTACAGATTCCTGGATTAACATATTATTTCAGTTTGGGAATCAACACATAACAAGTGTAACTTCTTAACCAACTTCCCTTGTTTTGTTTTTGCCAATCCAAGCATAAATTCCGATTCATCAGCATAAAAAGTCAATGCACACACGAAGGTTCGGTATTTATCACAGTTGCATGTAATGAAAGAGGAATGTGCTCTATTTTTTGACACCAGGAACCAGTGTTGGAAGCAGGCAGAAAGTCGATGTTTTCCGATCGGCATCCCGCCCGCCCAAAACCGAGGAAGAAGATCAGTCGCAAGACGTCGACGGACGTCTCGATTCGCAATCTTATATAGGTGCAGCCAGCCCATAACATGCGGAGCGGTCTATGCATTGGGAGGGGAATGAAGGTGTCAAGCTAAGATGGGCTTCGGACTATAAACAACCACAAGGTCAATGTCACTGCCAAAGCTCGAATTTGTACGAATGTCTAAATCAAATTGGAGCGACTCACAACCACCACGGCCTACCAAATACTCCCATATAACACTCTCCCCTTCAAGAGAACAAAAGTTTGAATTTCAAGGATAAAAGCATTTACATCACATATTCTACTAAACATGTTAATTAAACAAAACATACGTGTTTCCATAATATAATGTATACTTAGCACAAGGTTATATTCATAACTGATCAAATCAATTTTACAAATTTCCGAAAGTCTTGGTTTTTTTATTAAACGATTGTACCTGACCTTGACCGACTACGTGAAATCAGAATACAATATGGGCCTAGGCAAATTCACACTTTAACATATTTAAAGTCAACTCTGTCACTTTAGCCGATAATATCCTCATTGAAAGTTTCTGCACCTTGTAAGCTTGACGTGACGTCACTGATAACGCTTTGAAAGGTAGCATGCGTATTCTTCAACCCAAATTGCATAAGCTTTTACTGATATAGTACATCTATAGCAGAAGCAAAACTCAGGTGGAGACAAGATCACAAAGGGGGCTGACAGAAGGTGGAGAGAACATCACGAAGAGGACTGACAGAAGGTGGAGAGAACATCACAAAGGAGGCTGACAGAAGGTGGAGAGAACATCACGAAGGGGGCTGACAGAAGGAGGAGGGAACATCACGAAGAGGGCTGACAGAAGGTGGAGACAACATCACGAAGGAAGCTGACAGAAGGTGGAGAGAACATCACAAAGGAGGCTGACAGAAGGTGGAGAGAACATCACAAAGGAGGCTGACAGAAGGTGGAGAGAACATCACGAAGGGGGCTGACAGAAGGAGGAGGGAACATCACGAAGAGGACTGACAGAAGGTGGAGAGAACATCACAAAGGAGGCTGACAGAAGGTGGAGAGAACATCACGAAGGGGGCTGACAGAAGGAGGAGGGAACATCACGAAGAGGGCTGACAGAAGGTGGAGACAACATCACGAAGGAAGCTGACAGAAGGTGGAGAGAACATCACAAAGGAGGCTGACAGAAGGTGGAGAGAACATCACAAAGGGGGCTGACAGAAGGTGGAGAGAACATCACGAAGAGGGCTGACAGAAGAGGGAGACAACATCACGAAGAGGGCTGACAGAAGGTGGAGGGAACATCACGAAGAGGGCTGACAGAAGGTGGAGAGAACATCACGAAGAGGGCTGACAGAAGGTGGAGAGAACATCACGAAGAGGGCTGACAGAAGGTGGAGAGAACATCACGAAGAGGGCTGTCAGAAGGTGGAGAGAACCTCACAAAGAGGGCTAACAGAAGGTGGAGAGAACATCACAAAGAGGGCTGACAGAAGATAGAGAGAACATCACGAAAGTGACTGACAGAAGGTGGAAAGACCATTTCGAAGAGGGCTGACAGAAGGTGGAGAGAACATCACGAAGAGGGCTGACAGAAGGCGGAGAGAACATCACAAGGAGGGCTGACAGAAGGTGGAGAGAACATCACGAAAGTGACTGACAGAAGGAGGAAAGACCATTTCGAAGAGGGCTGACAGAAGGTGGAGAGAACATCTCGAAGAGGGCTGAAAAAAGGTTGAGAGAACATCACAAAGAGGGCTGACAGAAGGTGTAGAGAACATCACAAAGAGGACTGACAGAAGAGGGAGACAACATCATTAAGAGGTCTGACAGAAGAGGGAGACAACATCATTAAGAGGTCTGACAGAAGGTGAAGAGACCATCACAAAGAGGGCTGACAGAAGGTGGAGGGAACATCACAAAGAGGGCTGACAGAAGGTGGAGACAACATCACGAAGAGGGTTGACAGAAGATGGAGAGAACATCACGAAGAGTGCTGACAGAAGATGGAGAGAACATCACAAAGAGGGCTGACAGAAGGTGTAGAGAACATCACAAAGAGGACTGACAGAAGGTGGAGAGAACATCACAAAGAGGGCTGACAGAAGAGGGAGACAACATCATTAAGAGGTCTGACAGAAGGTGGAGAGAACATCACAAAGGGGGCTGACAGAAGGTCGAGAGACCATCACAAAGAGGGCTGACAGAAGGTGTAGAGAACATCACAAAGAGGACTGACAGAAAGTGGAGAGAACATCACAAAGAGGGCTGACAGAAGGTGGAGAGAACATCACAAAGAGGGCTGACAGAAGATGGAGACAACATCACGAAGAGGGCTGACAGAAGGTGGAGGGAACATCACAAAGAGGGCTGACAGAAGGTGGAGAGACCATCATGCAGAGGTCTGACAGAATGTGGAGGGAACATCACAAAGGGGGCTGACAGAAGGTGGAGAGACCATCATGCAGAGGTCTGACAGAAGGTGGAAAGAACATCAAAAAGAGGGCTGACAGAAGGTGGAGACAACATCACGAAGAGGGCAGACAGAAGGTGGAGAGAACATCACAAAGAGGGCTGACAGAAGAGGGAGACAACATCACGAAGGGGGCTGACAGAAGATGGAGGGAACATCACAAAGGGGACTGACAGAAGGTGGAGAGAACATCACAAAGGAGGCTGACAGAAGGTGGAGAGAACATCACAAAGAGGACTGACAGAAGGTGGAGAGAACATCACAAAGAGGGCTAACAGAAGGTGGAGAGAACATCACAAAGAGGGCTGACAGAAGATAGAGAGAACATCACGAAAGTGACTGACAGAAGGTGGAAAGACCATTTCGAAGAGGGCTGACAGAAGGTGGAGAGAACATCACGAAGAGGGCTGACAGAAGGCGGAGAGAACATCACAAGGAGGGCTGACAGAAGGTGGAGAGAACATCACGAAAGTGACTGACAGAAGGAGGAAAGACCATTTCGAAGAGGGCTGACAGAAGGTGGAGAGAACATCTCGAAGAGGGCTGAAAGAAGGTGGAGAGAACATCACAAAGAGGGCTGACAGAAGGTGTAGAGAACATCACAAAGAGGACTGACAGAAGGTGGAGAGAACATCATTAAGAGGTCTGACAGAAGAGGGAGACAACATCATTAAGAGGTCTGACAGAAGGTGGAGAGAACATCACAAAGCGGGCTGACAGAAGGTGAAGAGACCATCACAAAGAGGGCTGACAGAAGGTGGAGGGAACATCACAAAGAGGGCTGACAGAAGGTGGAGACAACATCACGAAGAGGGCTGACAGAAGATGGAGAGAACATCACGAAGAGTGCTGACAGAAGATGGTGAGAACATCACAAAGAGGGCTGACAGAAGGTGTAGAGAACATCACAAAGAGG